ACGAACGTGTAATCTTTCACTCGCGCGCGCGCGCGGTAGAACGCGCGCTGGCCGCTTTCATAATGAAGTCGCCAGAAATCTCTCGTTCGCGCGAGAGAACTCGATTCACTCATCAAATTATTTATTCCACAAGAAGAATCTCTTTTATTTATGTAACCTGCCTGGGAGTCATGCTTGATGCTCACCGACCAGGATAAATCATCGATTAAAAGTAGCCTGTAATCTCCGAGATATATATTTGACGGATAAATCTCCGTATATTCTCGAAAGCCCTCCTTTCGAAGCCCCAGCGGTATCCTGATTTGGAAAAACAATCGATTCGACGCGTACTTATTCGCCGCGGTTATAGTAACTCGCGGCGTGAAATGGCGAGGCTAATCGATACGGTGCGTTTACGTCAGTTACAATCGCGCTTACGCTCTTGGAGATGCTTATCGCGCCTGTCACGATAATTGCGCCGTTTCTTCATAATCGAGGCGACCCAACTCGGCGCAAAAAGCGAGCGCGCGCGCGAGAAAAAGAGAGCCTCCTTCTCTTTCTCCCTCCTTAAGAGAATCGATTTTTCCCGTGTTACTTTACCGAGAGCGACCTACTCGCGCCAAGATTTTTCAGGGAACATCCGCGGTGTATCGAAGGTGAGCTTACGTGGACGATCGGAGGATCCGTAGTAGTTCAAGGAGAGAGCGAGCGAGCGAGCGAACGAACGCGCGGCGCGCGATCTAAGAAGGGCAATCTAAGAAGAAGGGAGGCGGACGAGGCGGGGAAGAGGCGAAGAAAAGCTGCGGCGGGTCAGTGCACCATCTAGGAGGTGGAGATGGCGCCTGATAGTTCTTCTTCTTCTTCTTCTTCCTCTCGCTTCGAAATGCCGATTGGCAATTGACATTTATCGTCGACGGCCGTACTAGACGAGATAATGGAAACCGCCGACCCGTCTCGGCTGTCTCTCCTCGTCGCGCAATTAATTCGCTCGTCTCGCAATCGCCGGTGAATTTTCGAGGTCTAGGCGCCAGCGGGCGAAACGGCATTCGTATGCGACCGCTCGCGCTGACCTTTCGATCTCGCGACTTCATCTGGCGAGCAACGTGAAGAAGTGGCGCGATAAATTCGCGCGAGCATTTGGCAGCCCGCGAGCGCGCGCGCGTCCGTAATCGGTATCGAAAGTAACGTAAGGCGGTCTTGAAATTCGTGGCCGTAGCACGGCGACGCACGGCTTAATGGAGGTTTCCGCGGCGTGACCTAGAAGAGCTCCTCGCGCCGTATTCGAAGAGCCGCATTCGGTTTTTACTCGGCAACTTTTACTCCGCCGCGCCGGTCGACCGGTCGGTCGGTCGGTCGGTCGGTCGCAACAGCTTCGCTACGGAGGCAGCGGTGAGGTCGATCTCGTAAGGATAATGAGGATTCGTCGGGACTCTCCTAGGACGACTCGACACGCCATAGGTCGACAGGGAAAGGGGATAGAGAGGCTACGCTGCATGCGCGCACCGGCACGGTGAACTGCGAAAACTGGTTTTCTGCGGGTCCCCGTATTTATTGTGTGCATATACGGTGAACGTGCGCTCGCCTCTCGACATCTCAGACTGTGCATCTCGCCAAGGACTCGGCGACTGTAACGTGCGTTTAGAAATGCCATTGGGTCCTGTGGCGGCGCGACAAGTTGTTGAGGAAGACCTCTCGCCGAAACCCGCGCACGTCGCGCGATTGTACGCTCGCGGACGGAAAAGTCCTTCGTTATTTCTTTCTCCAAATTTCAGAATGTATATCCGTCTAATGGAGAAATCTTCCCCACGGCCAAGACGGGAGCGTTCTGAAACTCGCCAAAAATGACGGGCAACCTACCTGTCCACGATGTGGCCATCGTAAATCGATCCTTTGACCAGAGATGTGCGAACTATTCAAATTCGAGTCGATTCGAATCCGAATCCTTATGATTCAAATCCGAATAATTCGAATACCGGAATTTTACCGTACATTACCGTTTGCGTCAGCTACAAAGCTGGCCATCTGGGCCTGTATGTTTGAACCCTCAACTTGTAATTAAATTAACTTATAATTAATAACTTTACTATAAATCACTTTAAATATTTAAATATATATTTTACTTTAAGATGATATTACAATATCAGTATTCCCTTTCATATTAAAATCTCCCATCATTGTTTGCATGTTTAATAGTCGTGTTAAATTTCTTAATGATTCGATTCGATTCGAATTCGAGTGAAATTTCATAGATTCGATTCGATTCGAATTCGAATTTAAAAAATGAGATTCGATTCGATTCGATTCGATTCGACATAAAAATTCTTGATTTGATGAAGAGTCCAGTTCTATTTCACTCATTTTCATTTTTCTCTGCTGAAAAGCTGCGCTGCATTTCGCGTCGGGAAAATGTCTCCCAAAGGACTGAAATGGAAGTAAGATTTCGTTTGTCAGACGTTTTACACCCAAGCAGGGAAAGAATCGGAGGCGTTACGCACTGAGGTAATTACGCATCCTGCCGCGCGTAGTTATCATCGACTTATACCAACTGTTCCGTCCAGCCGCGTCAACGTGTATATATATATATATATATATATATATATATATATACATATATTCACTGCTCGTTGCGTAAGGAGAGTGCGCGCCAGGCCGAGAGGAATATTAATGCTAATTCCGCGCTGTGTGATACGGAATTGCCGAGGCGGTAATCCTCGCGATGCGACTCGCGCCGCGTCATAATTGCGGCCGCAACAGTGCGACTGAATTTTCGACGGGGGGCGCCGATTGTGCAAGCGCAATTCCCCCCTTCCCCGCCAGTCACGAGCCGAGAGCGTCGTGAGGTGCCTCGAGGGTGCAATTATCGAACAGGAAGCGCGCAGATCTTCCGCGCCGGGTCGGGCACACGTCGTGACGTCGTGACGTGTAGTATCGCGGCCGTTCATCTCGCCGCTCCCGATCGCGCGTTCGGTCGCGATAAGGTCGCGAAGAGGATCGCCCGTTGCGACAAGCTCGTAACCTGAATTCGGAATAAAAACGTCATTGTCTTTCCGCGCCGGTACGTCGTTGTAAATGCCTCGCGCAACCAGTGCTACGCGTATCGCGTTATTTCGTTATTTCGCCGTGCGCGCGGCGACGTTAACCTTTCCTACGCAAACCGCAAATTTATTAGCCGTCACGTGGCACGGTCTCGCTGAGAGATTCTCCAAGGATAAGGATCGCTCGCGGAGTAACGGCGCCGATCGACGGAGAAACAGATATACTTGCGCTACTCGAAAAAAATGCCGGAGGCCTTATCTGCGGACAAAAGCGACACGTCGGTCTTCAAAACGGTCTTCGGACCGCTTCCTTGTCAATGCAGCCGATGCGTGGTGCGAGGAGGTCCAACTTCAGGCCTCCGAAAGATTCACACAAGTTTGGTTCTCTCATTGAACGGCGTTCCAAACTCAGATTTCAGATAAAGTGCTGAATCCGCGTTCTGACACGTTCCGGCGCATCTCCTGCGAAAAACGTATCTCAAACGGCTTGCTTGACGGCTCGAAAGAAAAAAAAATTTCGGAGTTTGTTATTTAACAGATAAACCTTATCGACGTGTTTCACGCTTGGAAAGGTCAAATGCCTCCTCTCTCGGCTCTCGGTTATGTACATACATGCGGTCGCGCGCGCATCGTTGCACACTGCAGGCTGCAGATATTACTTCCGGAAGGGTTCGTCCCGCGATTATGTAGTTGCAGGGATTGAACCATTAACAATTTCACAGGATGCGAACGAACGGATAACGCAATCCGCCGGCGGCGATTCCGCAGTTTCGTGCGCGCATGTATAAATATTGCACGTAAGACTGCATCTCTCTCTCTCTCTCTCTCTCTCTCTCTCTCTCTCTCTCTCTCTCACTGTCTCTCTACTCTTACTCTCTGTCAGTTTTTTTCTCCACACATCTCATCGTCCTCTCGTTAAAACAACTTTCTTCCGTGCGCGCGAACACGCCAAGTTCTCACCGGCCGTAAACGCGTGTCCTCAAACGCCGCGAATCGAATTTATTTCGAATATCACTCGCCGCGTTATTGCGCCTCCGAATGGCACTTGAGCGCATCGTCGGGCGCAGTTTCGCGATGAAAGCAACGCGGCGCGAGTGACACTTTCTCAGGGTTTACGAGTGCAAGGCTTTATCCTCGTTCGACCGTTTTCGGGGCATCGCGAACCGCGTAACGTTTTCACGAGGATCGTAAAAAGAAGTTCCGTAAAAATAAAATCCGTTTTCACTCGAGCGAGCGCGCGCGCGCAAGTCATAGCGAGGTTCTTGAACGGTGCGATTGAATATCGACGCGCTGCCGTCCCGTCGGAAAAATCATCCACGTCGCGCGTAATATGATCGAGGTCGCTTTTAGGCACCGAGCTCCGACATCGACGTCGACGGAATCCGCGGAGGGTTTGAGAACGCGAGAATTATAAATTGCATTCTTAGGCGACGCGGCCTCGCGCCGAGGAAGAGGCCATCGTCGTGGTCGCGACAATACATCGAATTAAAAATGGTCTTCACGTCGAGCGAGTGGGCGACGCAAAAATGAAAGACAAGTAAGGGTCCGATGAGAGAGAGAGAGAGAGAGAGAGAGAGAGAGCCAGGTAGAAAATAGAATCCGCGTGCAGGAGATTAATTCTGCATTCCTGCGGCCCACACCCGTCCTGAATCCGTCCAGCCGGACGCTGGACTCTCGATCGTCGTTCTCTCGGCGCGGCGACGATCCGCCCGGCTCGAAGGAGGCTCCCGAGAGCGATGCTCGTGGTCTCCTCCGTTCGAGCTGGACGACAGCCTGAAAGCGTCACTGGAAGTGCGATTGCGATAATGCGGAGGTTGCGACGATCCTCGGACGATAGATCTCGTAGGACGTTTCCAGCGCGAGACGACATCACGGGGCCTCGACTTTAGCCGGCTTTTCCCTTAGTCCTCTCCACGGCGAACAGGATGCACTTTGCTCGTTTTCCCGGTGCCCACCTGAGAGAGAGATGGCAGCACGATCCGGAAGGTGAAAGTCCCACGATGAAGAGGGAAGGAGTGGTGGTGCACATATAGAGGGGCGGAGAGGGCGCGGCTTGTCCAGACGCTCTCTGTCCCGACGACGACGACGACGACGACGACGACGACGACGACGACGACGACGACGACGACGACGACGATGTCGCCGAAGTTGATATTCCTGCTGGGATCCTTGTGCCTGTTCGCCGGTGAGTACAATTCAATTCGTTTGTTGAAATTGCCGCGCCTCGCGAACTTGTCGGCGAATTCGCGCTACATTCGCGCGATCGTTCACGTCGGTGTCACGTCCAATTTTTCAACTTTAATTCACGCGAAGCGCGTCGAAGAGTCGCGCGACGACAAGAGCCGCGAGGAGACGAGAAGAGTCCCGAGGGAGTTGTGAGAAATTAGCTTCACAGTTGAGAGAGAGAGAGAGAGAGAGAGAGAGAGAGATCGCGAGCGGCGAACATTATGCAACGAAAGAAAACCGCGGACAACGGTTGTTTTCCGGTAAAATTTCGGAAAAATTGGAATTGTAAATGAAGAGACGCGCGAGAGAGAGAATCTCCTCGAGATCTCTCTCGACGTCGAGATCCGCGTGTTTCTCTCTCCGAGAAAGAAAGAAAGGGTGGGAGAGACGGAGAGGACCTACTTTGGAGAACCACTGTCGCTTTCCCCCCCGTTGCCCTGACATTTTCAAGACTTTCTACTTCTACCGCGCGCAGTTCACCGACCCCTCCTTCGGTCTCCGCGATCGCGAAGCACGCGCTCGCACGCGCGCGAGCTCTCGTGTCGTGAACCGATCGTGACATTTCCGACGATTAATCGGATTCACCTCTGCCTCATCTTCGCGCGAAATGTCACAGATTGAGACAGGCGAGTGGGACCTGCCGTTTTGAACGAGTCGATTCTCCGTTTGCCGACTAGCAAACTAGTTTCAGCCGTCGACCAAGTCCTTGGAATTCTAACGGAATGTCTGCCGGTGGGAAATTTTCACTCGTCGGGATGTGCTCGCGGCGAGAGATATACGACCCTCCGGACAAATAAACAATTGGAACGACTGAAATTTACGTGTTCGCCGCGAGTAGAATGCGCGTATCTGTTAGCGAAACTCGTTAGACATCCCGCGTAACGTTCGCAACGTTCAATTGTCGTCAACGAGAAGCGTCGATGACAAAGTTGGCTAATTAAAACAACTACTCTACTCCTCCTCGGCAGGCACACAGGTCAGGGCGCAAGACGAGGAAGGTGGCGATGGGACCGACGCAAACGCCGAGGAGCTTTGCCAGGACCGGCCGGGCGACGAGTACTTTCGCTTGAGCGTTGAAGGAGACTGTCGCGACGTCGTGAGGTGAGCGGTCTTGTTATTTTACCCGCGGATGCAGAAGGCGCGGAGTTGCGAGTGGCGAGCAACATACCGAGAGAAAACGAGAGAAACTAAGCAGGGTCTCTCGCAGAGAGACCTTTCCTTCGGCTTTCTGCTGTTGCACTCCGCGCGAAAAGAAGCGGACTCGGAGTCAGCCGACGAGGGACGCTCGTCACACTCGCGCGCACAATTCTGTCCTATTGTCCAATATAACCGCGTCCAATGTGCAGCGACTGTGGGCGAACGGGGCTCGCAAGCGTCTCTGAATAGCGTCTGAAACGGAACGAAAAAACTCGCCGGCCGCGCGACTCACTTCCGCCTGCTTGGGCTCTACATTGCGCGCGCGCGCACGCGCGCGGCAGGAAGTAGTTAGTTAGATTCTATACTCGAAGACTGAACTTTCTCCGGCCGGGTCGCGCGCCGGCTTGAAGCTCGCTTCGTGGTCGGGTCCCGTTCACCAGCACGTTGCCCGTTGACGCCGTGCGTCAGCCGCGTTAGATCGAGAGGGTTTTGCGAAAATTGTCAAGCACCGCTTGCGAAACGCAAGTAGCAGCCGGACGCTTGGCCGGTATATTTTTACGATATCCTTTGTCCCGGCAGCACGCGACGCGGAGAATGTAAGTCCCCCAAGGACATCCGCTTTTGACAGGATAATGTACCGTGCGAGCAGCCGCGGAATGTGGTACGCCGACGATAAAAAATCCCGCGCCCGCGCCGATCGTTTATTCATCGATCTAGGATGCGATTGATCGCGAAATCGCCTCGATCGAATTCCGACTTTCCAGGCTTCTCACTCAAGGCGATCCGGTAGATCGGCGAAACATCTCGACCGCGCCAGTGCGAGTGCGTCAACGCTTCCCTCCGTGCGCTGCTCGGAGCGAAGAGAGAGAGAGAGAGAGAGAGAGAGAGAGAGAGAGATATTTCTCTTCTCCTCTCTTCCCTTTCTCGTCTTCTTCTTTCCTTTCGTTTACTTCTCTCACCTCCACCTGCGGCCGGCGCAGCGCCGGCATGACTTTCTCGCTTTGATTTCGCGCGTCGCGCCGCGAGCGCGTCGGGGCGCGCGAGCGCGAAATGCGCAAATGCGTGGGGGCGAGATTGTTCGATGTGGGCATGAACTCTAGGTGCGACAAAGCCACCGAGATCGGCGTGACCAGGCTGGCGACGGTGCGGTGCCCGACGGGTCTCGCGTTCGACATCGAGCGGCAGACCTGCGACTGGAAGACGAACGTGAAGAACTGCGATCAGCTCGAGAGTAAGCGACTATACGACTTTTTCCCTCCTTAGACTCACGCAGGCGCCTTTTCTGTTTTCTGTTCCGGCTCCGCTAGGTGTACAAGGTCCGGCCTGAAGCAAATCACGTGCCCCAGCGGACTGGCCTTTGACTTGGACAAACAGACCTGCGACTGGAAGGGCAAAGTCACCAACTGTGACAAGCTCGAGAGTAAGTCGACGGGTCGCGGCGATGGCGCGATCCCGCCATGCCGCCCCGGCCGGTAGAAATGGCCGATTCCTTCGTAGACTCGCAACGTAGCACGCACCATTCCGCACTTTACATCGCTGACTAAAAATACGCATGCGACGTCATCTCCGCGTGAAGCCGACGCATTGCGACCGTGAGCGTCTCTGAGAAAAGGGCGAGAAGATCGAAGAGCACACACGGGGCCGGTCGCGAATCGAAATTTCCGTAACCGCGAGGATCCCTCGCCGTCTCACACACACACACACACACACACACACACACACACACAGCTTCAGCGAGCCAATTATCAATGAGAAATCACGTCTCGAGCGAGCTTCGGAGACATTGCGCAACGCGCGTTGCGTAAACGACGACGATCGAAAAAGCCAACTATGCGAAACTTTCCAGCGACACGCACGGCACACACGTGGTGCCGTGCCATTAAACCGGGAAGCGCTCATTAACATAGCGACGGGATCCGACGCGAAATTGAACGGCGGGCGACTTGTACTTTCAGCAGGCGCGATTAACGATCGGGAATGCCCGGATCTCCCGGGATACTTTCGAGAGACGTTACACTCGCCCGCGCCGGCCTCTCTCGTCGTCCGACCACTTTCGTTCCGCGAGACGCGAGAGAGGCAAGGTGGCTGGCGGCTGAGCGACTGGTTTCGATTTTCAGCGAAAGTGCGAGAGCGCGGCCCCCGTCTCGTCGTCGTCGTCGCCGCCGTTGTTTGTTAACCCTCGAACGAACGAACGAACGAACGAACGAACGAACGAACGCCCGCGAGCCGAGAGAACGCTTCAGAGACGCCACAGAGTCGCGAAACGTCAGCGGCTAACCCGGTTTCTCCGAATCCTCCAAACTATCTCCCCATTTTTTCTCACGCGTTTTCCACGACTCACCGCGTACGACTAACGAGCAAAGCTTTCCAAACGGAGCTGGACGAACGAACGAACGAACGGAATCGGAACGGCGTTCGCCGTTTCCGATGCGCAGCAGCGCGCGAGAGCGCGAGCGGCCATGCTCGGCCGGGGCGCGTATCTGTATCTACTTGAAGCATCAACAACCCCTGTCGAACCGCTTCTCATCGATGCACGATCGGTCGTTCTCGCGTCGTTTATCGCACGAACGTTCCGTATTGTATTATTTACGTCGCATCGGTCGTACCATTAGCGTGCTCTACTCGGTCGTATTATTTATACGCGCCAACGGCGAGATTACTCTCTCTCTCTCTCTCTCTCTATCACAGAGTGTCGCTGTTAATCTTACAGCGAGCGAGAGTTTGCGCGCGTTTTCGTCCAACTCCGGCCTCCGTCAGATTTGCCGTTGGCTTAACACACACAAGACCTGTCATCGTTTCGTTAACGCCAAATTGCGCGCCAGTGCGTACGCGAGAGAGATAGAGCGAGAGACCATTGCGTCGTTATTCTCACGGGAGCACGTTGATAAGCACCGACGAGAGATGTATCAACTCGCGTGAATATGTATCAGTCTCACATCTCGTTTTCCGACTTGAACTTTCGAGCGACGAGGCGACCAAAGTCAATTTACCACGCTGAAAGCTGATGAAAGCGCGGCTATTTGCGCGAAATGGAATTAAACTTTTGAAAAAGAGAAAAGAATGAAAAAAGCAGCCATTTAAGAGAGACGTATTAATTGTTCGTTCGATAAATCAATTCTCTCTCGTTCCATTGTCTCATCTCCGCTCCTCGACTTCGCTTCGCCGTGGTAGCGTTTTGCAATTCGCACATCGATAATCTTTCAGCGCCAACCGCGAATAATCGCGATTATTGCGTTAGCCTTTGCAAAACGTAATTTCCATTGAACGCTAAACGCACCGCTGCGTGCGGTTTTCATTCCGCGCTTGCGCTGAATACGCACGCAAGCGCTTCGCGCGCGCGCGCGCGCGCCAAGTCGAACACAAATAAGGCACCGTCGTCCAATAAACATGAGCCGAGCGCTCGAAAGAATGCGGAGCAAATTCTATTTCGCCGCGGTGTGGTGCTAATTAATCATTTGTATCGAGATACGGATCGAACGGCATCCTTTTTATATTTCGCGCCGCGCGTTGCGTCGCAGGCGACACGATGCGGGCGGTTTCAAATGCCACGATCTATTTTTCTTTCTTTTTTTTCTTCTCTTCGCGATACTCTACAGGTCGACACTGGCGCGCAATGATTTTCTAACACTCCGCTCGCCCCCCTCCCCTCCCCCTCGCCCTCTCTTGATCCCCGCAACGTTCGCTCCAGGTACGAGGTTGCACGTATTCGTTCGCCGATCTTTCTCCTCGCGTCCAGATCGGTTTCGCTTGGACGACCTGGCCTCCTTACAGGAGCTCCTCGCTACTCCGGTCGGCTCGCTTTTACTACTGAAATCGCGAAACGCGCGCGCGCGCGTGCGCGCGCAATCAGCCAGATCGTTAATCTCCCTGCGCGCGAGACTCCTCTTTCGCCGCTAATCCTCCGTTTCACGACTGGAGGACGACGAGATACGATCACGGGACTTTTTCGCATCCATTTCCGTAACATGATCAGCACACACGCGCACACACACACACACACACACACACACACATACATACGCGTACAAGTGGAGCATACAGAGTGTCGCGCGCGCGCATTTTCTCTCGACCAGACTCAGTGGAAGCCATACTAAAAAAGCGCGAACAATACGAGACACGTACTCGCGAGGCAATTAAGAATCGAAGAGTCTCGACAGATGAAGCTTCGAGAATGCGAACGAGCAACGAAACGTTACTTCTCGCAACGATCGATTATTCCCCATAAAGTTCCTCCATAAATCATGCTGCGCTTCGCACACTCTAATTTCATTTCCCAAACAGTTGCTCTCGCTCGCTCATCTTGGTTCCGCTCGCATCACAGCACATTTTCAAAACTCATTTCTCTCTCTCTCTCTCTCTCTCTCTCTCTCTCTCTCTCTCTCTCTCTCTCTCTCCCTCTCTCTCTCTCTCTCTTTTTTTCTCCTCTCTGCCTTTCTTTCACTACACACGAATAACGACTTGCGTGCATCGCTGCCAGTCAACGAGGCAGAAACTAGTAGCCGAGTCACGATTTACGTTCGAGTCGTCGAGCGAAAGACAAACAGTCCTCCTGCGAGAACCGGTAGAAAGGTTGCAGGAGAAGACCGAGGATGTACACCCTCCTCTCGGTGACACGAGACGGCGAGACGAGAAACGACGAGACGCGACGGACAAAACGTACGCTTCGCAACTCGACGTGGTAAAAAAAGGCGCGAGGGCGAAAATAAAAGAGAGAGAGAGAGAGAGAGAGAGAGAGAGACTGAAACGACAAACGGGACGGCAGACAAGACGAAACAAAAGCCATTCCGATGGAGGACCAGAATAAAGAAAGAACCATCTCCGAGGCAGCGGCGTAGGAATGTGTGAACGCGTTTAGCGAGAGGTAGCTCCTCCGTGCGAGAATCTCTCCGATGCGCAAACACACTTTCAAGACCCTTCGGGGTCTTGCTTGTATATGTATATATATATATATATATATATATATACGTCCCGTAATCGCCGGTTGGGAACGCGTATACGAGTAGAGACTTGTGATGTTACTGTGTTTTTGCTACAAGGTGCTGCGAGGTAGACTGCGGAACTGGGTGACACGAATTAATTCTCAGCACGATCCCCACCAGCTTAACAATTTGGACTTTTACATTATCTTTTGTTTCTCCCGCCCCCGCCCCCGCCCCCGCCCCCTCTCTGCCCCTTTTTTGTACTTTTCAAGTCCACGTAGAACGACACACGGTACCTACGCCGCTGCGTTTAATCGGTGTAAATAAATTCGGGATGGGTGAAGCAGCGGCAGCTCGGGCCTTGATCACACTCGCGGCTGGTTATGTGAATTCTCCACAGCACCCCGACAGCAATACGAATCTCAAACGGTGTTTGCTGGCTGACCATAAACTGTCCATCAAGAAGTCTCTCTCACTAGACGCGATCGATTAGCGACATCCAATTAATGAGAACTTAAACGCAAACCCTCGACGAAAGGGAATCGCGCGCGCGCGCAGACGAAAAACTGTGTTTTTCTAAATTACGATAATTAATATATAAATTATATTTTATATCAAGATATACATATATATTTTTAATTTATATTTTTGTTAAATTCCACGATCCATTTTAATTATTCTGAGCCATAAAGCCGCTCATCGTCATTATCAGTCCGCGATTAATTCTATATCGAGAAAATTATGCTTTTACGTATTGCGATGACGTAAATTATGAATTATTAAGTATCAATTAGTACTAACGGGTACTTAACTCTACCGGGCATTCTATGGTCGTCCTGTCGACATCTGATGGATTCCTATGCTGCATCAGCTCGGTAGCTCAAGTGGCCACTTTGCGAGCGAACATCCGGCACTCTAACGGAGATTGCGTTTTACAGAGCCGCGTAAGGTCTTGCCCATCCTCAAGACCGACGAACCCGTTTGCCCAGAAGGGAAATTGTCGTGTGGTAATGGCGAATGCGTCGACAAAGAGCTCTTCTGTAACGGCAAGCCCGATTGCAAGGACGAGTCCGACGAGAACGCCTGCAGTAAGTGTCGCAATGTATTACACTCACCTGTACTATCGAGTGACAGATACGTTAACGCGAGTTGATCACGCCATCACGTCGATTCGTGTCAGCTCTTTGAACAAAGAGCGGATAAACTACCTATCTATCTATCTATCTTGATAAGCGTAAGAATTAAAGCACGGCTTTTTACAACTTACGGAAAACGGAAAAAATCCAACGAGCTGTAGTTGTTGTGAAAGTAATGCTAGTGAGGCGCTGAGAGGTATTTTAAAGTTTGAAATCGCTAGTTTCCAAATATTTCACCCAATCGAAAATGTAGTTATTTTGTACAATGTTTTTTACACTGTATTTTTTAAAGTGTAAATTAAAATACGTGTAAAGCCTAAACTTTGGATAACGTTTTGTTCGTTTTATCGAACAAGTACGAACAAGAAATCGTGGACAATCGTGGCGCTGATAGATCTTGAAGATAGAGAGATCTTGAAAGAGAGCACACTTTTCTCTTTAATTTACATACCTGTGAGTTATGGTGCGATAAAAGAAACTTTTTAAGGTGAAACTCGACTGAAAATTAATATTAAAAATCGAAAGGTCGTCATTTTTTTCATTTAACTCGATACATCTTGGTGAAAAAAAAAAATATATATATATATAGCAATATTATGATCTTCACATGACAGAAACTAGAAACTTCAAGCTTTGAAATGCTCCCAGAGCCATCTTATTAACGTTATTCTTACCGAGGTTATAGCCTGCTGAAGTTTATCCATTTTTCAAATTACTCTACATAGTCATTTAACCTCCATCAAGGTTGATAGTGTATTACTCGAAAAGTAGACTACCACGTCTGCTCTTATGTTGAGTCGTACCGTGATCTCGTCGATTCTCTGTCAAGGAGAGCAGCGGATACCTTGGAACTGATTTGAAAGTTATCCACATAAATAACGGGTTTAAGAATCAATCAGCACCCGTTATTTTAAACTCGTTAAGTAACGGGTCTAAGACACCGTTAGACCCGTTATGTTCAATTTAGTTTTCGCGAAGTATCCGCTACGAGCCGCCACTCTCCGCCAAAGGAAGATTCGAGGTCGTAGTGCTACTCAACGAAGGAGCGGACGGATCTCTTTACCTTTTAAGTACTTCTCAACGAAGAGTCGAGCGTCTCGTGATCCATTTTGAAAAATAGGCAAATTTCATCAAGCTGTGACTTTGGTAAAAATAATAAGATAATAAGATGGTTCGAGAAGTATTCTAAAGCTCGAAATCTCTAGTTTTTGTATACATGTAGAGGTAATAATATTTCTATCGTTCTTCGCCAAAATATATATATCGGAAATTAAATGGAATATAGGGCCCGCTTGATTCTCAACATCAAAATACTCGGACACTAGAGACTTCAGGCTGCAAAGCCGCTGTTTCAGCCGCTTTATTAGCATCGTTTTAACAAGCGATACATCATGACCGAGAGAGAGAGAGAGAGAGAGAGAGAGAGAGAGAGAGAGAGAGAGAGAAAACAACGCTCCGATGAATTCTCCAACATCCCCTCCCCCCTCCGCCCCCTAAATCAATGAAATTGATTAAGCAAAACTGCTCGCTACAACGCTCTGACACGTGAAAAATTTGATTGAACAATAAACCGAATGAATTACAGCCGTCGAGACCGACCCGAACCGCGCTCCGGATTGCGACCCGACGCAATGCGTCCTCCCCGACTGCTACTGCTCGGCGGACGGCACCCGCATCCCCGGCAACATCGATCCTCAGCAAGTGCCGCAGATGATCACGATCACCTTCAACGGCGCCGTCAACGTGGACAACATCGACCTGTACGAGGACATCTTCAACGGGCAACGGCAGAACCCGAACGGCTGCCAGATCCGCGGTACCTTCTTCGTCTCCCACAAGTACACAAACTACTCAGCCGTGCAGGATCTCCACCGTCGCGGCCATGAGATCGCCGTGTTCTCCTTAACGCACAAGGACGACCCGCAATACTGGACTCAGGGCACATACGACGACTGGCTGGCGGAGATGGCCGGCGCGCGTCTCATCATCGAGCGCTTCGCCAACATCACCGACGGCTCCATCATCGGCATGCGCGCCCCTTACCTCAGAGTCGGCGGCAACAAGCAATTCGAGATGATGGCTGATCAGTTCTTCGTGTACGACGCCTCGATCACAGCCTCGCTGGGACGAGTGCCCATCTGGCCGTACACCCTGTACTTCAGGATGCCGCACAAGTGCAACGGCAACGGCGGCAATTGCCCGTCCAGGTCGCACCCGGTCTGGGAGATGGTGATGAACGAGCTGGATCGCAGGGACGACCCCACCTTCGACGAGTCTCTGCCGGGTTGTCACATGGTCGACTCGTGCTCCAACATTCAGACCGGCGAGCAGTTTGCTCGTCTGCTGAGGCATAACTTCAACAGGCACTTCAACAGCAACCGTGCGCCACTCGGTCTGCACTTCCACGCGTCTTGGCTCAAGAGCAAGAAAGAATACAGGGAGGAGTTGATCAAGTTCATCGAGGAGATGATCGCCAGAAGCGACGTGTACTTTGTCACGATGGTCCAGGTGAGCGACAGAGAGAGAGAGAGAGAGAGAGAGAGAGAGAGAGAGAGAGATTCGTTAATCTCACGACGTTTGCACACCCACCCCATGACCCGCTTCTTTTCCCTCGTACCAGGTAATCAAGTGGATGCAGCAGCCCACCGAGCTCTCGGCGCTCAGGGACTTCCAAGACTGGAAGGAGACTTGCGACGAGAAGGGTCTTCCGTACTGCTCGCTGCCCAACGCCTGCCCGCTGACCACCAGGGAGCTGCCAGGCGAGACCCTGCGTCTCTTCACCTGCATGGAGTGTCCCAACAACTACCCGTGGCTGTTGGACCCGACGGGCGACGGGTTCTCCGTGAAGAAGTGATCCGTCGTTCGCGAGGAACGAGGGATGCCGCCGCGCCGATCGTTTCTCCAGAAAATTCGGGGGAGTGACGCCGAGGCCGAGAGCCGCGGCGGTTCTTCGGCTCCGGGAGGAGCGCACGGAGAAAGCAATCGGCGACGGCCGTCTTATCGCAATTAGAAAGCGTCACCTCGGCACTGGAGATTAGGTCGCGCGACGTACAACGGTCTTCCGCTTTCGAAGGGAAACGCACCGCGCCGCGCCGCGCTCGGTTTCTCTCGAAGCCGAGAGTCCCCGCGACTCGACCATTATTATTTATGCAGATTAAGATCGGCGAACGCACACCGCCGCATACGATCCGCCGCGGGAGGATGGTCGCGCGTGTCGGTTTCACGAGGAAAAACGCCTCGACGTCGCTCGACGGCGCTCCTCCTCCGCCCGCGCAACGCCAGCGAGGAGCTCGTGCTCGCGCTCGCGCTCGCGCTCGTGTTCGAGGACGGAGAAGGCGCCGGCGACCGCCGTTTCCGCAGCCTCCGGCGAGAACGAGAATCGCCGAGCCCGGGGGTGACGTCCCACTTGTACATAACCACCGGATCCTTGCCCTCCTGATCCTCGTCATCGTTGTTGTTTTCCTCGCGCGCCGACCCAGCGAGAGGAACGGAAACGAGCCTCGGAGCACACGCCATCCCTGCTCGCACCCTATACACATGTACTCGTCTAGGATCTAAACGACGCGCGAGACTCTACATAAGTGTAATTTCCTAGTATAAAATATTCCTCCTTAAAATACTTCTCAATAAAAGAAATTGCGTGCGTAAATTGCACGCGCAACAGTAAACAGCTCGCGCTGGTGGATTCATTTCGAGTTCGGCATGTCGAGTGAGATTGCTCGAATTAACGTTCGACGATCAACGAACTAAACACGCTTTGCTTCGTTCATCGTCGCGGAACTAATCACAGCGGAACACTTCAACCTTGATCTTTTCTCCGTCTCTCCGGGAAGATACCTCGGAGATGTCTGAGAGACGAAACTTTCTTTCCGCCACGTGAGAAGTCGCCACGAGTCGCGACGGTTAATCGCTAGGGCGGTAATCGTAAAATCATGTCAAAGCTGAGCCGAGGCTCCTTTTCGATTTTGGACGACATTCCGTCGGCAGCCCGAGGTTACCAAATAATCGTTCACGACGTTCACGACGGGAAAACGTACCGCACGCGCGCTGCGCGTACTGAATGATACAGCCAATTTCATTGTTTCATCAGTTTATCTAATCGTCTTTGAACTCATTCTTTGCTCCACTCAGCTCAGAACTCACTCTTTCATCGAGAACTTGACACGAGAGGCGGTAACGTCGATTATCATCGTTCCGATTGTTTATTATCAATCAAGTGGTCGACGCTTAAAAATCCGTCTTCCGTTCCTTCGAAAAGTCTCAATCAGTCATTTACGATAATTCGTACACATACACACACACTGACTCGGATAAATTTGGATACTTGCGTTGAAAACGAATCCGCGTTAGGGATGTATAAAACAAGCATAAAGCGCGCGATGGAACCAGATTTTTCGGAAAGTTTAGAGAACGCCATAGTGAATAAAGTCCAACTCCAAGCTTAAGTAAAATGTAACATGACAATTACTACGAACTTGATTGCAAAACAGTTTAGACACAACGAAGTGAAGTATTCGTAAAATCTATATGCTCTCGACTGAGAGAGCTACTAGAGTCGAAGTCACAGCGCGAGGTATCCGATGTTGAAACAACAACAACGGAGGACTCACACACAGGAGAAACGTGTAAGTATACACTTCTATCATGTTATTATTTATTAGATAAAAGTATATAATATAAAGGGCCGATATCTACATTGTTTATCGTCACTTCGGTCATGACTTCCGTCACGGCACGTGACAGACGGAAGTCTGTCATAGTAGCGGCTCTTAATCGTGACAATTTGGCGCGCTCCTTGTTCTATTGCGCCGAAACCGTTTCGCAACCAAGTGTGTCCATTCGTATAAATATCATTTCACGTTCACCCTTTCGTCTGATTTGTGCCGTGGGCGGAACATACGTAGTCGGAAATACGTGTAATGTGTGGTAAAAACGAACGTAGGTATCGTAGGTGATACACAAATGCAATTAATATGTTACAGCGCAATGTGTCGCAAAATCCTGTCTGCGACACGAAAGAGAAGAGAAAAACGCAATCATTCGCCATTGGACGAGTACGAGAAGCGCGTACGTTACTTAATCTCGACTTAGCGCCGGCCGACGAAAGGGCTACCCTGAGCATACCCGTACTCAAACGGAAGATAACGCGTAGACGCGCCGTGCTAAATTCAATATCTTTCGCGCTACAAATCCGCAACACACAAATCTATGTACATCAATGTGCTAGATGGTACGGCCCCAACCAGTTGGAAGCAACTCCGCTGCGACGTAGTCCATTTATCACAGTAGCACCTCGACCGACGAGTCGTCGAGTCGCCTAAATTGCACATCGCGAAGAGCTACCGCGAAAGCGTTCGCGATTCCGACCGGAAGCGCGCCGTTCATCACTCGTCGAAAACACTCCGATCACTTCACAGATATCCAGGTGATAATAAGAAGAAGGAGAAGAAGAGAATCGATGAAAAATGGCAATCATCACGATCGGAGGTTTCGCATTCGAACAGTTCCGGAATAGACACCCCCGAGAGTTTTACATCTGTGTGCACAACAACGAATTCAGCTATTGTTCGATAACGCGAGTGACCGCGACCGCGAAATAAACGAGAATGCTCTTATTTATAATCCTAACTCTGTGCATGCTCGCAGTTACGGTGCACTCTTTTTTTGTTGCGCAAGCTAATTACCGTACGCGCATCTTCTAACGAGAGATGCTGTGCACCCGTTCCTTATGTCTACGTAATGCGGAGCTTCCGCGCGGCCACCGCCGCGATTATCGTGCTCGTGTGGATCGTGCGTTAATAAACGTTGCGTTTGTATTTCGATCGATGCACTAATGCGCGGACAACCGTCGATTCGGTATATAATTTTTACGAGGCGCAATGTAACCGGGAGAAGGCGGCATCCTGCTTCATTGCCTCGGTCACGCATTTCATGGGTCATATGCCCAAATAGCTGCAGAGAACGAACGCGCCGCATATACATATGACTATCAGTATGATGACGAACCAGAATGGCAGTGTGTCTAAAACATAAAAATTTTTTTTTCTCTTTCATAATCTGAGCTCGAGGGATTATCTCATTCAAAAGCTGTTGCTCATGCTATTTAGCAGACATATTTACACTAATTTTTTTAATTTTATAAACATAACATTTAATTGTTCATTTCCACATTCGCTTTATACTAAAGTGTTGATTTGTACTTTTTAACAAGTTGGTCGTTTCTCCACTCTTATTATATTCACTCTTACGTTTTGCTTGAAGAGACCAGAGTTGCCTTGATTTTTACTTTTAACAATCTATCTTTTCCAACATAATATGTCATAAATGTTTCAAACAGTGGTATTCATATTTCTAATAATGTACTTACGTCTGAATGGTATACTGTGTATACAAATCCTGTTGTCGACGGAGATGCTGACGACCGCGGTCTCTGTGTTGCTAGTAATCGCAGGACCGTCCAAACTTGTTGGTAGGAATTCCAAACCGGTCACAAACATGCTGTGCGCCCCGGGCACATGTAGCGCCTTCCTCAGGTTAAATGCCACGAATATATCGACGCTGCCCGAGAACATCGTGCCGACAGCCACAAAGTGACCGTTGTCGGAAACGGCCAGAGCCGATAAGGTTTCCTTGTAAGAAGCAGATTTCACAATAGCACCAGTCTGAACGTCCCACAACTGAAGGTAACTAGGATTCTTCGCCATGACGGCATTAGAGAGCATAAATAGATCGGTCCTCGTCCTGTCTTCCAACAATTTTCTAAAACGGCACCTCTTGTACACATATTTTGCGCCATTGGATGGTATCCAAGTGAGCTCCTTGTCCTTCGTGCCGTCTTTCACATTCCACAAGAACGCTTTACCATCTTTGGCGATGCTGACCAATAGACTGCTGTCTGGACTGAAGTCTATATCGTCTATCTCGTTCCCGTGAGCATCAAGATCATATAGTTTGTGCAATTGCGGAAACTTCCACAATTTCACTTTACCGTCTGTGCCACCTGTGGCCATGATCTTCCCATGTAGGCTCACTCTGACGATTCTTTGTAGAGGCTCACCATCGCTGCAAAATAAAAGGACATTGAAGAAATTGAGAGAGAAATATGATATTATCCGATACAATGAACAAACTATCTTACCCAAAAGCTGTCTGTACACTATCAGCAGGTTTAAGTATTAATTGCAACTTTTTACATTTCACATTAGAGTTATCATCTCGGTCTTTGATCTCTTCTGTCCTCTCCTTCAGTGACTGAACTTCCTCTGTGACTTTTTCACTATTTTTTCTATGCCTGAGACCATCTTTGTTTGCCGCTATTGATGCTGCTGGCCCCTTTATCAGCTCTCCATTCTCTGAGGTCACTACCTTGGAGTTTACATTGTACAGTTGACAATGACTCTCCTGACCAGCAACTATCCATGTCTTCTTGCCGTTGTTGTGCGAGGCACAGTTCATAACTACGCTGGGGCCAGTCTCATGCCTGGTTACCTCCTCGGCGATAAAGTGAGTTCCATTGTGTGATAATTCAAAGATTTCCTGTAACACAGACAAATGTGATTAGTACAAATCTTATCACAATACCTTATCCATGCTGGATGTGGAAAGTTTGTCAAAAACATGCAAAGGACATGCTCAAATTTTACATAAGGATTTATATAAGAATCATTTCGCACACAAGAAATAATGTCAAATAGGAAAAAAACACAGCAAGAATCATTTCATGCACAAGAAAAAAAGTCAACAAGAAGAAAACACAACAACAAGAAGATCATCAGGCAAAAAGAAAACGCAATTTGCACAAATCCATCAAACTTACAAATCCATTGGCAACTCCAGTCTTGGAGGAACCTCCTCCACCTCCCACCAGGATGTGCCTGCTAGTCAACATCTGTAGCGTGTACAGGGGAAAATTTACCCTGGCCAGGAGGCCACCTTTGCTTCTTCTGGAGGGCATGACGTTCTTTTTTTTCTGTCGTTCGACTTGACAAGTGTGTCTCGATTTCGCCTCGCCGAGGATAGACTAATCGAGAATAAAAATCCAGCAGGATCAACAGTAGCACGATATCAGCACTGCCCGAAATTCCACGTGTCACGTCCGCGTTCCATCGTCTCGCGTTTAATCGACTGCCGTCGTGTACGACGGCCTTCGAGCAGACACGCGCCGAGTACGATTGCACAAAGTGACAATCCGTGAACTTTGTACGGAAGGACAATCACAGTACACGTATTAAGTAGAAATGACATGCGGTTGAGTCTCTCCGTTACGAGATCTCGCCACTGAGGTATTCCTATAGCGATTATAACGCAGGGATAACGGGGGATCTATTTTTTACAAACCCCGCGATTACTGTATTACGCTATCTGCACTTTTCACGTGTAAAGTCGAATACGAGTATAAAGGTAATACGAGAAATCCAACGAGAGAAGTTTACCCCTTCTGATCGCAATTTAGGAACCTCCTATTCCGCTCAAGGTCATCAAGTTTAAAGAGAATAGATAATTGAAATACATGTTGAAGAATAATTAAAGATACCTGTTAAAGTGATCCGACGGGACATTTAAAAATGTCGGGGAATATCTCCAGGGCACGCGATAACAGGCGCTAGCTTTTCGTCGAGCAACAACAACAAGTGTCATCTTCGAGCTGATCTGACGCAACGTGTTTTCAGAAGTATAAAATAATCGTACTCGACTTGTAGTCTTTTCATAATTTTATTGCGTAATACGCGCAAGCCACGTCTTTAATGCAAACGCACAGATGAAAATATCAATAGTCGATAGTTTACCAATCGAGTAAGAACCTCGGCAGTTTCTCTCGGCGATCCTCGTTGGCGATCAGCTGCAAAATGGCGAGTGCCATAGTGCGTTGTTTTCAGATTCCGAGGAGACAATTAGGTGAGTCTTAGCCTTCGTTTGTTATTAAAAACGCGTACACCGTATTTTGTCCTATCATTATCAACAATAAAATAACGAATAAAGTATTTGCACGCAGATTATGCCTCATTCGCCACGACATATTTAACGCGACAAGGTTATGTAATAATTAAATAAATTTACGCTTTTTAAAGGTCTCCTCGGATCGTCCTTAAGCAGTCAACAGCAGCAGAGAGCTTTCGCCAATGCTGCTCCCGAAGGAAAGGTGAGACTCTTCTTGGACTCTTCCGGACTGGTTTGCGTCAGTTCCATTGTGTCACCTGTTTCTCTCTTCTCTTTCCGCTTTAAAGCCTTGAGACAAACAGACACGTGATATTAAAGACTACTACTTACATTATTGGCACCTCTTCTCCCACAGAAACAAGGTTCACCCTTGTCTGATCAAGATCGTATCTTCACGAATCTCTACGGCAGACACGACTGGAGGCTGAAAGGCGCCATCAGCCGTGGTGATTGGCACAAGACCAAGGAGATACTGGACAAGGGCGCTGACTGGATCATCAATGAAATCAAGGTTTCTGGCTTGAGAGGACGTGGTGGTGCTGGTTTCCCCTCTGGCATGAAATGGTCCTTTATGAATAAGCCGTCGGATGGCAGACCCAAATATTTGGTGATCAATGCTGACGAGGGTGAGCCAGGCACTTGTAAGGACCGTGAGATTCTGCGTCACGATCCGCACAAGCTCGTGGAAGGTTGCCTGATCGCTGGTCGCGCTATGGGAGCCTGCGCTGCGTACATTTACATACGCGGCGAGTTTTACAACGAGGCGTCCAACATGCAAGTGGCTATAGCAGAAGCTTATCAGGCCGGTCTGATCGGGAAGAACGCCTGCAATTCTGGTTACAATTTCGACATCTTTGTGCAACGAGGAGCAGGCGCGTACATCTGCGGCGAGGAGACCGCTCTGATCGAGTCCATAGAAGGCAAGCAAGGCAAACCGAGGCTGAAGCCACCGTTCCCGGCCGACGTCGGCTTGTTCGGTTGCCCCACGACCGTCACCAACGTGGAAACAGTAGCGGTAGCACCCGTATGTGTGTGCGCGAGTGTGCCGATGAAGATTTTACGCCCTAAAAATGCTACATTTGTATGTTTATTTAACTAAATATCAACTTGCAGACAATTTGCCGCCGAAGTGGAGCATGGTTTGCCTCATTCGGACGCCCGCGCAATCACGGAACCAAGCTCTTCAACATCTCCGGCCATGTTAACAAGCCGTGCACCGTCGAGGAAGAAATGTCTATCCCGCTGAAGGAGTTGATCGAGAGGCATGCGGGCGGTGTAATCGGCGGATGGGACAATTTGATGGGTGTCATTCCTGGCGGCTCTTCTACTCCCGTCATCCCCAAAAGGTAAACCAGCCGGCTGACGATCTCTCCTTCCGAAAGTCACAAGGTTAAAATATAACTTGCAGCGTATGCGACACCGTATTGCTGGACTTTGACGATCTCATCAGAGTGCAGAGTTCCTTCGGCACAGCAGCAGTGATTGTGATGAACAAGCAGACGGACATAATCAAGGCCATTACCCGCCTGATAAGCTTCTACAAGCATGAATCTTGCGGTCAGTGCACGCCTTGTCGCGAGGGTATCAGCTGGATGTATAAAATACTCAAAAGGTAGACACATTTACCACCAGCGCGACTCGCAGCGCGTGAGCGTATCTTTATTTGATAATGCATAAACGCCCGATATATCCGATTGTGCAGATTCGTGGAAGGTAACGCCGAGATGCACGAGATAGACATGCTATGGGAATTAACGAAGCAAATAGAGCTACACACAATTTGTGCGCTGGCGGATGGCGCTGCGTGGCCAGTACAGGGTTTGATCAGGCACTTCAGGCCGGAAATCGAGGCTCGCATGAAGCAGCAGAAAGAAGTCGCGTTCAGCTAAAGAGCCGAATACGAGGAATAGCAGAAGCTAGGTATGAGAGTATGATAGAAAAGGAGACGACATCCTAGAGAGCAGTCCCTGTAAGATTTTATATTTATTTTTGCTGTATATAAATGAACTTATACACGCGGTCTTAGTCGCGATTCTCTCGTGCAACAATCGGTTCGTTGAACCCGGCACAACGTCCGCCGCTGGTTCGACCCTATATAATAAAAAGAATATAAGAAAGATCTTGGGCATATTTATATATATATATATATGTGTGTGTATGTATGTATGTATGTATGTATGTATGCATGTATGTATGTATGTATGTATGTATGTATGTATGTATGTATGTATGTATGTATGTATGTATGTATGTATGTATGTATGTATGTATGTATATATATATGTTGATAAACCTAACAAAAAAGCAATTCATTTTATAAATCTCGCTATATTTAATCAAGACATGATCCATGTTTAGTCGAGATTCGAATCACATCTAGCTGATACTCGAACCACATTTACTCGAGACTCAATCCACATTAGATGAGCTAAAAAAAATAAGTAATCTTATAAAAGATATTGACCCGTTATTTCGACGAACCAAGCACTTACATTTGAATGAGTGGTTAAATATATATATCAGAGCGATGAACCAATTTAAAGCCAAAATATGTTGATATATTGATATTTTTGATCAAAATAATTATGATTAATTTCTCAATTAAAATATATTGGGGGTACTTTGCGTTTCATTTTATATTTTTTACTATCAACTGAAACCTCTAATGAGTGAAAAAGGAAACTAAATAAAGGGATATAGTGTGTAATTTCTACATTATGTAATTTTGCAGCACACCTTAGCGTATCGGCCAAACTTATTTAGAACGGTGAAACCGACACTTACCTTTCAGGCTGTGCCTCATACAGATAGCCGTGTCGTATCCACTTGTTACACGGCTTATGTGAAAATTATGTATATCTGCGAACGCCGTGCGTTACAGATATGCTGCGAAACGATGATGCCGCCGTCGCTGCCTGACGCCCTTCGCTTAACGGCGTCCGGCGCCAATATTATGCAGAATAGAGTGACGGAATAAACGGTATATATAGTGAATGGAAAATATTTTTACCGAACGCGCCTTTTGGCGGAAATGAAGTGTAGCGAAAGCCGCCTCTGTCATGAATCATGCATACGATTCCCGGGCATTTACGTTCGACGCAGAATACGTAACGCCGATGACTTTGCCGGCGGCGGTGGGTTTTCCATGAAAAATACTCACCACTACAGTTTTATACCGAACGATACTTTGCATTTATTCGTTCATCATACAAGAGAATTCACTAGCAACTAAACGTTCCGCCGGCTACGATACAGATAATGATGTGGCTTTAGATACGGTACAATGTGCGTATACAATATATACAAAAGCACACACTCGTTCTCTCATTTCCACAGACAAATATCTCTCCATCTCTCCCTTTCTCTCGCGCTTCTCTCTCCCTCCCCCTTCCCCCCTCTCTCTCTCATTCTCACACTCTCTCACTCTCTCTCTTCTCTCTCTCTCTCTCTCTCTCTCTCCCCCCCTCTCTCTCTCTCTCTCTGACTCTCACTCTCTAAGCGCCACTAAAGTCGGAACTGTCTTTTTCGCGGTTTTGAAATTACCATGTGTTTCTCTTTTTCTTCTTTTTTTTTTCATTTAATTACTTAAATAATAGATTTAAGCTAGCCATTACGTTCGAGACAGCTCGGCGACGGTGGACGAGCTGTCCCGGTTGAGTTAGTAAGCGCACACACTGTCTTTTATGATAGGTCCGTTTTGTTACGTTTTATCTCCCCTTTATCTCTTTTGTTCCTTCTTTTTTTTTCTCCCTATATGTATACATACACATATATATCTACCAAACCCATATTCCTTCGCGTCGCACGTCGCTGCTATTACTTTTTCCTTTACATCTTTGCTTTCTCGTATTCACGACTCTCGCGGGCAGTGATGGCAAGATTGGTTTGTCCCGAGTGCTCGCAGGTGCTCGTGCTCTAGATCGCTCTAGATTGAAAAAATATCTAGTATTAACGTGTCATGTTCCTCGAACGTTTTTAGGCACTAACGTATTTTCTCTCTCTCTCTCTCTCTCTCTCTCTCTCTCTCTCTCTCTCTCTCTCTCTCTCTCTCTCTCTCTCTCTCTCTCTCTCTCTCTCTCTCTCTCTCTCTCTCTCTCTCTCTCTCTCTCTCTCTCTCTCTCTCTCTCTCTCTCTCTCTCTCTCTCTCTCTCTCTCTCTCTCTCTCTCTCTCTCTCTCTCTCTCTCTCTCTCTCTCTCTCTCTCTCTCTCTCTCTCTCTCTCTCTCTCTCTCTCTCTCTCTCTCTCTCTCTCCCCCTCTCTCTCTCTCTGCGGTCTATATATCTTGATCCCGTGGAGAATCTCTATGTTAAAAAGATACCTATCTGCGATCTACGGTAACAGCTCTATACGCCAGGCCAGAAAGCAGCCGTCGTACTAGATTTTCACTCGCTCTCGCTCTAAAAAGTCAGAGATTGGAGAGAGAAACTCCTATTCTAAATATATATCTAATATATCCGGCAAACTCAACCCTCGACCGCGCACATTCATCAATGTAAATCGACAGCTTGTGTGTCGCGGCAGTACAAACTTAAACTTACATACTCTCGTTGAGAGATGCACGCACGCACGACACAGGCGTGCTTGCGTATTGCGATGTGATCGCAGATTGATAGCACTGGTCGTAGCAAAAATCACCCCTCCATCCAGAACATCCAGACACGTCGCGCGTGAGTTGGCCCCGTCAGAAAAGCGAAGTAGAGTGGTTTTCACCGTTGGAGGTACGTCAGGCAAGTCGGAAGGTGCACGTCGTCGCTTCCACCCGGGACGACGACGGTGTTGGGGAGGGATATTAGATTGCATCGTATCGTATATATTGCATCGCCTTTACGATACGATTTCGCCTTTCGAATCTGTAACTCGCCAATCGCATCTGGATCACTTCCCATCACTGCTCACGGCTTAACGACCCGACGCTAAATACAAGCTAAAGACCGCTCGCGCTCACGCGGAGCGTGTTTTGTTAGCCGCCGCTACTCTCGCACGCTGTACCGCGCCGTGTTATCGCGCGTGACGCAAAACAGACCGCGCCGTGATCGCTGTGTGTGGTGTGGGTGGGTAGTAGCAGCAGCAGCAGCTTCTTCGACGTCACGCGGGACAAGCGTGCGATGATGGTCGCTTTTGTGCCGTCGGTGTCGCTAAATGGCCGAGAGAGGAACTCGTGAATAACGAGCGCGCGAGCGAGTCCCCGGCGAATCGCGATGAATCGCCGGGAGCGCGCGATCAGCGAGAGCGGGGACGAGACGACGACTCGCACACTACCCACACTTCATAATAAAATAATATAGCGCGTTCATTCTCCTCGCATTTCACTCGCTCGCGATTGTACTCGCTCAACGAGACACTAGAGCTTCAACAGTCGCTTCGGATCTGACGCTATCAGGGTACCCCCGCGATCACTCGGACAACAGATCAATGTGACGCTTCAAATTCGGATTATCCAGAGACAAAGTCCGGATCCGGATGCAAGTGTGATTAATTATGTTTATTATTATGTATCATTCGAATTATTATTTTGGCTAATTTTGTGCTCTTAAAATTGATCCGTATCTTTTGGCCGTATCTGTTCCTCTACGTAATTCGACCTTGGATCTGAGTTCAGTTCTCGATTCAGTTCAGGGTCCTGGTGGGTCGTGATGATCCGAATAATTCCGACTACGAATATAATTGGATTTCGACGTGTCGGGTGAGAGCTCGGATATCCGGATAGTTGGAGCCCTGCAAAACGAGTTGTCGTCGTGCGGGCTGGACCGTGCGCGCTCTTGGAGGTCGCACGGCGCGGGGAAAGGTACATGTGCACGATATGATTGAAAGCTCGCTGGTCGCTCGCTCTTTGGCATGATCATTGGCTGTCGTCCGGCAAGATCACGCTTATTGTTGGAGACTCCTGCCGCTGGACCCGCGCCACCGCATTGGTTCTCCTGCGCGTATACATCTGCCATAAAAATAGACGCACGCGCGGTTTCCCTACGTCAGCCCCCTACCTGTGCCGCGGAGGATGCGACCTCCACCTCCACCTCCACCTCCACCGGCCTCTCTTCTTCCTGGCGATCGCGCCGGTTTCAAGGAGTCTATTCTCGAGACCGTGCGAGAAAACGCATGCGCACGTGTGAATGAGACCGAGTCTCGTTCTCAATGAGGAGAACGGCGATCAGGGCCACGGAGAACAATGCTGATTGCGTCGCGCGCCGATCTCGAGAGGATGACGAGCGCTTGGCTGCGGCGATGATATCCTTCGAAATCGGGCGAGCGCAGAGCGCGCGATAGGAAACTGACGACGGTGAGCAACCGAGAGAGAAAGAGAGAGAGAGAGAGAGAAGCGCGAGATATTATTCACGCACTCGAGAATTGCTCTAACAACATTGTGGACGATTAATCTTTTCGCTACTACGCGCCGCTACAGCGCGGTCTCCCGCCAAGGCTTTCTTCTTTAGAGGGCGATGCGCCACTGCAACGGGGCGCCTTCTTCGGCAACTGTGCTACGATATTCACTGCCAGTACTGAAAATATCTATAGCACAAGTGACGTGAACTGTGTGTGTGTGTGTGTGTAGATTTTCAATACTGGCAATGAATATCGGAACGCAGCTTACATTATGCACTTGTGAGAGCCAAAAGAGAGTTTCCCGTCGCTACGAAGCAGTTTTTCCGCCTGTTTGAAAATAACGTTCAAGCGATGGACAGACGATGGAAGAATGAAGAGATGCTGTCATTTTCCGATCATCGCGATGAAATAGGCCAGTGGGCATAATAAGGATTTTTTCGTCACACGCGTAGCTCGTGACAACCGTAGCGAAAAGATTAATACCGACGCGACTCTCTCTCTCTCTCTCTCTCTCTCTCTCTCTCTCTCTCTCTTTCTTCCTGCTCACGACTCACGACATTCACGGAATCTTTCACAACGATATATTAACGATAACACACTATTACACACGATAGTACAAAGTCGTAGGGCTTCGTTGAAGTCGCTTTCCGGGGCGAGCGCTTGCCGCGAATCGTCAGGCTGCCACCGCCGCGGCTGCGAGATAAATTTATCTCCTAGTTAGCTGACTCTCTCTTTTTGTCAGGCCCAAGTGCCCGAGGCGATTTCATGCCAAAAGCAACACCGCCGCCGGATATAATCGATATCGCCGATTCGCTCCGCCGCCAAAGTCGATTTCCGAATTCGGGGCTGACGTAAATCTACCGCGCAGCAGCGGCAGCAACATTCCTCAAGTTCGCGACGGCCGGACGCGTTAAGCGAAATGTCAAAGTACACGCAACACCGTTTATTCCCGCTCGCGTCGTTTATTCTTAGATAAAAGCGTTTTCGTTCGCGCGACGGCCGCTGGAATTTGGAGAAGGAAAAAATGGATCTTTGCGAGCGTATTCGCCGTGAATCAAAATGTTCCGCGAGATCGCGCGCGCGCGCGCGCGAGTAAAATGGTGACGCTTGCTTGCGTTAGGGCGTGCGTGTGTGTGTGTGTGTGTGTGTGTGTATGCGTGTGCGTGTGCGTATGTGTTTGCGCGACTCGCGCTGCTACCCGTAGAAATAGAAAAGATCGCGACTTCTCCGTGCTCCTGTACGTCATAAATCAAGATGAACAGTACGATGCATCGGAGCACCATGTCATCTCCGACAGATGCATCAATCTTCGCACGGTGTTACACGGCTTGGGTGGTGGGGAAGGGCGCTAGAGCTCTCTCGCTCCAGCGACAATGACTTTTTGACTGACTGCTCATAAAAGCGGCCCGGGCCATCGCGTTTTTCAGAATGCATGCATTCGTCTCGTTCCCGCCTCGCGAAACGCCTGGCGTAAACGACTTTTACATGCGAATTGTTCGAGTCGCGCTCGCGGAGCGAGCCGAGCGGACGCCTCGCATAGAAATTTCTCAGAATTTGTCCGGACATGCGCGCGCGCGCGCGGCACGCAGAGATTCCGATTAGAATTTAGAAATTTTCTCGCAAAACTGGTTACCCGACTGCGTTACCAATCGGAGTCGGCGACCCTTGTAGAAGATCCGTCCACGGCACGCAGGCAGAGTTCACTGTGCCCTCCCGACAACTCAACGTCTCTCAACGTAGACCCGCTTTTCTCCAGAAGAAGATTCTCGAACGGTAAACGACCCATCTGCTCTGACTCAAGAAATGCTAAGCTACACGGTTCTCCCCACCTAGCATAGGCTGAATAATCAGTGAAAGTGTTTCGCAGAGGTTACGACAGAGTTTTCACAGTCTGCGATGTTTAATGCAATATTATATAAGCAAAATCTGCGATGTTGTAGTAGAATGAAAAAAATACTAGAAAATCAAATACTATAGTCATATGTGAGAATTGTGAATTGTCACAAAGATAAAATACCGGGTTTTCCACTCTGGGCACCGGGTCGAGTATCTGTAATCACAGATTCGCTATGCCTGTTACCACACACACACACACACACACACACACACACACACCTCTCTCCCGTGGCAACCGAGTTGTCAAGGTCGTAACGCGCGAAACAAACAAAGATACCTGCACGCGGAAGCTACAACGAAGTCCTGCGACTTGTAACAATTCCACGTCGACCGATTAGTCGTGTGCAATGACCTTGCCGGAGCTGCCGGAGAGAAGGGATTGTAGGAACAAGTAGTCGCGAGGACTCTCACGTCAGCAGAATTTCACGCCGCAGTCTGAGCGGGTCGAAGCGCGCGCGCGCGCGCGCGCGTTCGCAAAATGTCGTCTCAGCGGTTTATTCGGGCAGGGAAAAGCACGATTGAGAAATCTGGAATGCGCTGCGTGAGCAGCGAGACAAAAATAACAATAATGACAATCTGATTTATTATTTGGCTCCCAAAATCAGGACAGTACGAGGACTAAACGTAAGAATCGGTAACAATGTTGTCTTTTGTCGCTGTGATTAATTTGCGCAGTAAATGTCGTCGCGGTGGATCTCTCGCGCGGGACCCGAACAGCGGGGATCCCTGCCAGAATGTATGATGAAACGAGAGCGAAACCGGCGAACTCGCCGCGAAAACTAACATGCGTCTTTCTACCCTCTGCGTGTACGAGCATGTGTGTGTGCATGTGTGTGTATGGGATGTATGCGTGGTACACGCGCACGCGCGCGACCGACGAACGAGCGGCCACGTCGGCGAATCGTTTCGCCGTTCGCTCTGCGAACGTCGTGCAATAACGACGCCCGGCGTCACTTATAACACCATACATCGTCGGCGAGCTGCAGAAATGCAAATCGAGCGACGAGATTGTTCCCGCAATCCCATTTCTCTCGGATCGCAGCCCCGAGGAATCCGACGGCCTAGTTATAGGAGAATGTAACTGTATATTCGTGTCTGCAGATGTATGCGTGTGTATTTCATGTCATGTACACGTCTGTGTGAATGTCTTATCTGTGTACCTGTGTGTGTGTATTCGCGTGTACGATGGTCAAGATCGCTCGTTGGCGGATGGAAGGCACGGGGTAAGGATATCAAAAGGGGGTTCGAGACTCGGCGGCGGCGGCCGGACGACGACGACGGACGACGACGACGACGACGACGACGACGACGACGACTCGCCGAGGAATCCGCGCGGATCACCCTCGATCACGTCGAAACTATCGATCGTCGCCAGACCAGTCGCTGGCCGCCCACGCTGGCAGCGGCGTCTCATACTCCCATCCCGGCCCGCAGTAACGCCACGCGTGCAGATACATCACCAGGTCCGACGGTTTCGGGTCCCTGTACTTTACTTTGCACTCGTAGCAGTGCGGGTCTACGGTGACCTTGTCGTTAGCGAAGCTCGAATCTGGTGGCTCCGAACCTGTCTGAGTTCCCACGGTGACTTTTAGGGATTTCAGCTCCTGCTGCTGTTGTTGCGGCTGTTGCTGCTGCTGCTGCTGCTGCTGCTGCTGCTGTTGCTGCTGCTGCTGCTGCGGCTGTTGCTGCTGCGGCTGTTGCTGCTGCTGCTGTTGCTGCTGCTGCTGCTGCTGCTGTTGTTGCTCGTCCTCGACCAGGCCCGGAGTGGACGATGGCGAAGATCCGTCCTTGTCGTTGGCGGAGCCCAACATTCGCTCTTCCATCTCGAGCTTCGGCTTAAACAGGCTCATCTCGGAATCACCGTCCATGCCGAGCCAATTCTCGGCATTGTGAATACTGATGAGATCCTTCACGAGCTCCTCGTCGGTCTTGCCGATGTTACCGCCCTTACCCTTATGTGGGCCAAAAACCACGTGATTGTAGAGCGGATCGTTGACCACCGGGTAGCCGAGGTACTGCAGATGGACACGGATCTGATGCATACGTCCGGTTTGCGGCTTGCAAAGCACCACGGACGACTTGCCGTTGTAACTGAGACGCTTGAAACGGGTGACGCAATCCTTGCCCTTGTCAGAGACCTTGCACACACCGATCTTGTAGGAGACGACCTCAATCGGTTCCGAGCAGATCACCTCCTCCTCGGGGAACTCACCCTCCACCCGACACACGTACTGCTTGTGAACCTGAAATGTGAAACGCACACATGCACACACACGCTTGTCGTCGTCGTCGTCGTGGTGGTGACGTTCAACGATTCCACCGGTGAGTGAGAGAGACGGGCGAGCGACGCCACAGCTACGCCGTTTTCCTTCTCGCGTTACGCCACTGACCTGTCGATTTCTTATTTGATGCTCCATCTGCCTCGCCTTCTTCGGCGTCCTGCCGAACAGGAGGATGCCACTGGTGAGTCGATCCAGCCTGTGAATGGTCCTGAGGTTCTTCAAGTTGTACTCTTTCGCCAGGATGAAGACCACGGTGTTGTGACGGTAACGGCCGCACGGGTGCACCTGCGATCACAAGCGAGTGTTTATCATTCAGCTTCGCTGTCGCGTCTCACTACCCTGTCGCGAGCTCCTACAGCGTTTATGTCTGTTAAATGCTCAAATTCGAGGAGTGAACGGTGACTGGGTAGAATCGAATTCCCCGAGCGGTCAGGGAGTCAACATCGCGGAACTTTCGAGCCGACAACGCGGATTTGCAGGTACAATGACCGGCTGGCTGACTGGCTGGCTGGCTGGCTGGCTGGCTGGCTGGCTGGCTGGCTGGCTGGCTGGCTGGCTGGCTGGCTGGCTGGCTGGTTGGCTGGCTGGCTGGCTGGCTGGCTGGCTGGCTGGCTGACTGACTGGCTGGCTGGCTGGCGGATCGTATCGAACTCCACCTGACTCGATAAGCCCGCGCGTCTGTCAGAATAGCGGCTCAATAACACGTAGCGCGGCGGCTATCGACTAGCCGGCGCGCGCGCGCGCTCGGCGAACCACGCTCGGCACGATAATCCGGCGATTAAAGACAACTTTTCTGCTCGACGCCGCTCGGGGATTCCAGCGGCTCTCGCGCCGTCCTGTAGCGCGAAATTAATTTCTACGATTAAAAGCTACGCAAATTCGCGAGAGGGCTCAACTTCGGTGAACACCGGTGAACAACAATTTATCTCGCGTATAATAACGCTCCGTCCCACCCGACGTGTCTTCCACATTATTTTTCATCCTCCCTCGACTAAATCCGAGCACGTAATTACAACTTTTCTGTCATTATTTATTAACGTATCCCCAATCTTTATCGCTGGAGTTTTCGCAAAGAGTCGTAACACGGCGAACAACGTCGCGAACTTTGCATCGCGACGAATCGCAGTTGCATAACGGCCCGACGTCTGCACGCGAAAATTAATTCGGCCAATCGACTGGAAGTCCCGGCCTCTTCTCTCGCAGGCAGGCGGGCGGGCAGGCAGGCGGGCGGGCAGGCAGACAGGTCGGCAGGCAGGCAGGCAGGCAGGCAGGCAAGTAGGCGGGCAAGCTATAAAAGAGGTACTCGAGAAAGCGGCGGACGGACGCGAAAGCGACCATTAAGTCGCGTCGCGCTTATGCGCCGAGCGGGCACTTGTGCATCCGATTATTTTTGCATTAATGCCCGTTGCGGCGGTTTTGTTGCGCAAGCTCTTGTTAACGACCTCCGGGGACGGGGACAGCCGACGCCGACGCGGCCGCCGTGCATTCGATGACATTTGAGAGGAAAAGTAGCCGGTGCGGTGGTGCACGCCGGCACGTATTTGCACGCCGAGCTCTCTCGCTGTATTAATCGCGCGACGGACCGGACCCCTCCGCCTCGTCCCTCGTTTTATCTCTCGCTACGAGAACGCAGCAGAATGCAACATTTTCGCGAAAATCACCGATGCACCAACCGAGAGTTGTCGAAACGCTGGTGGAAACTGACAAGAAAATGGCAAGAGAGAAATGAAAAGACGAGAAAGAGGGGAGGAAGGGAATGGGAGGGAACATCAATCTCGTGGGAAGTTATCTACTCCGAAAACTCGCGCTTCATCTCCCCCAACATGTGTACACGCCGCTGCGCACTTTAGATTACCGCCGAATGAAGTAATTGAGACTGATGCCGCGGAGATAAAGAGGAGAAAGAGAGGAAAGAGAGGTCTCTCTCTCTCTCTCTCTCTCTCTCTCTCTCTCTCTCTCTCTCTCTCTCTCTCTCTCGGCTTCCTCGCCGGCTAGAAAGCCCTTTAACCATCAGTTACGCCAATGAATCACCGATACGTAGAGTCCAGCCGACGCGTCGGAGCTCACGCTCGCGGAGATTGCATTACCGTGAGCGCGCCGCAAAGCGGTATTCTTGTCCTTTACGCGTTTCCACAACGCCCGCGGAGCTCGACATTATCGCGCACGGCAGTAACAGCGCGGAGTAAATTGTCCGTGATTTGCGAGCGGCGTAACGCGCACGATTAACATTTTAATGGTAAGTTTTATTTGCGCGCGCCCGCGGCCGTCGTTTTTGCGGCTTCGAAACGAAACGTTTACGCGAATGTGGGCGCGCGCGGTTTTTTTTTTTCTTTCTATCATCCTCCTTTTTTGCATTTCTCTCTTTTATCCTTTCATTGTCGCGCTCACGCCGGGAGGGTTCAGAAAATGTCAAGAGAGACCCCGCGAGAGCCAAAACGTTGCATTTTAAAAAGGCGAGCTCGTTAAGACCCTTGGCATTCGACGCGCATCCGTTAACCGCGCCGTTCCGTTCCGTTGGTCGCCATTTGAAAAAAACGACTCGTTAGCGGCGATTTAGCCGCGTTCGTCGCACACGCGCACGCGCGGATCCCAGGAACACACCTAGGCGAAATTCGCCGCGGTTAAAGAAGCGAGAGTCCGCGCGCGCTTCGGTGTCGACGTCGCGGTGGATTAATTCCAGGGAAACACTCGGGTGTATATTTAGATAAAGCGACAGTGGGACTTCATTAGCGGGATGCAAAAGGAAAAAAGGAAGAGAAAGAAAGGAAGAAAGAAACAGTGATACCCGGGGGCTCTCTCTCTCTCTCTCTCTCTCTCTCTCTCTCTCTCTCTCTCTCTCTCTCTCTCTCTCTCTCCCCCTCTCTCTCTCCCCCCCCTCTCTCTCTCTCTAAATTGGACGATAATGGGCTCTAACTTTAGGAGCGTGTTCTAGGAATGAATTTTAGTAAAAGCGGTTAGCACATAAGAATAGCTTGTCCGGGACCGAATGCGACGAGCTAGCGAATACGCTTCGCCGCGTCTCGAGAACACGAAGCGTTTAGACGGTGGCGATGCTGCGTGTATCGAGGCGAGGTGTCGTGCATGCGAGGAGATGACGTGGTGAATGTGCGTGTCCCTGTGGTATGCGGTATGTGCATGCACGTGTCTCGGTGAGACAATACGGTAAACATTTTGTTTCTTTTCTCTTTTTTGTTTGTTGTTTTTGGCAGTACAGTTCTGGCAGTACACCACTTACAGGGATGGAGGCGGGCTTGTTGACCACGACGACGTCCTCGTCCATGTGTATCACCGTGATCGGCTCCGAGGTGACAGGCACCTCGTGTCTGCAACACACCAATCGCAACCAGCTTAACGTGGCTTTGCTCCGTTCGCACTTACACGTCTCGCGCATACGCACCTAGTGTAGGCGCACAGGCACACCAGCGTGCGTGTATGCACACGCGCGCGCGCGCGCACACACACACACACACACACACACACGCACGCACACACACACGCGCATACACACACACACAAACAAACAAACAAACAAACATACGCACGCACGCACGCACGCACACACACACGTACACACGCACGTACACACACACGTACACACGCACGCACACACGTCGACTGTGCAGCAGGTAGCAGGTAGTAGTCCGTGGAAGGTGCTGTCGCGACCGACTTGGATCGAACTGGCAATAAAGCCAGACCGACAATTAGACGTGACGTTGAGAAACGACGGCGTAGCCCGACGCTGATGATCACGAATTGATAATGCGCAGCTTCCGTTTATCGCTGCGGGACTCGCGATGTTGTTTCAGAGAGAGACGGACGAGCGACTATAATAAGGGGTAGAGTGAAACGTCCACGTAACCGACAATTTCTTGCACTCATTGCGCCAGTTTTCGGCAGTCTAGCGCGAATTTTGTCAAAATGTTAAGGTGTACGGGGATTAAAGATAAATGAATAAATAAATGAGTAAAAAAATTCATAATTCTCGAATGCTAGATGCTCAAGAATGCTGAATGCCGCCAACGAGTGCAAAGAATGCCGTCTAATGGACGTTTCGCTCCACTATTGCAACTCCGTTCACAAAAGTCCGGATTGATTGCAACATTAACCGGCCGCAAAGGCGCCGCACAAAAGTCACGCCGATTGCCGGTGTTCCCACACACAGGTGCGTGCGCGACTCTGCGCTCTCGCGTGCGAACGAGTGCACGAAAGCGACAACGAGTCGAGCAACAGCGCGCGCAGCATTGCGCCGGCACACGCAATGCGCTTTTATCTAACGTTCAGGTAAACTGGTTTATAATGGTTTATAATGACGAAGGGCGTCGAGAGGAGACACGAACGAGACAGGACGGCGCGGAGCGGAGGAGAAAGTGGAACTGAGAAAGAGTAGAAAGGAGAGGAAAAATATGGGAGAAAAAAAAAACGGAAGAGAGGAAGAAAAAGATGGAGAAGTGCACAGGTGGGTGTATGCGCGCGGCGGCTCCAATTATGCGCTCCATCTACCTAATGCATTTTCATTCCGCAATATCAGGTCTTCGCGCCATTCGCTGCTGTGTACGCACAGATGTCTTGTGCACGTGCATTCTTTGCGCAAACGATAAGGAGATGTCTGCGGGCGAAAGAGTGACAGAGAGAGAGAGAGAGAGAGAAAGAAAGAGAGAGAGAGAGAGAGAGAGGGGGGGGGGTCGCAAAGGAGGAGGGTGCGAGAGGATAAGAAAGCGAGAAAGTAAGAGAAAAAGAAGCCTTCGGCGCTTGGAGATTGAATTTGCGAAATCTTTTTCCGTCACTTTGCAAAGTGCCGCGTTCACGATAAATGACGTTTGCGATGGAGGACGGCCGGGAATATCGGATAAAACACGTGACAAACAGAATTCAATTTGGGAGAGCAAGGTGTCGTCCGTAAACTTTACAAATTGCAATACCGTAGGAGGAGGGGGGGGGGAGAGAGAGAGAGAGAGAGAGAGAGAGGAAGAGTATACACGTGTTACGTGCAGCAACGCTTTTCCTCACGGAAACTAATCGCAAATCGATGCATCGTTTATTAGTTTTATTGTCGCGCGAATTGCTTCGCAGCAGACCGACACGATAGCGTAATAGCTCGCGAAAGACGACAAAAACGTGGAAATATAGATTGAGGACAAACGCGCAGCGTGATATTTCGCGGCTGAACAAGGGGCTCGAGGGAGTCGAGAAATGCGAACGAGAAATGCCTGCGAACGAAATTACAGCCGCACGGCGCGGCGGCGCAATTCAATTACCCACGATCTAATTAATTAATAACGCAATGACCAAGATCAAGATCGTCCGAGACACTGCACTTGTCGAATTATCAGGTGCATAACATTGACAAAAACAACAATGTTAGTCACGCATTCTATTCTAATTTTTAGCACTCTGCTCTATCCCGATTAGGTGCGAGAGACGTGGACTCTCCCTTTTTCCTCGTGCTTTCCCTTTCAAAGTGGAAAGCGAAGAACGACGGACAACATATAATTGTAACGTTGGACACGCGTATACTTATCCTGAAGCACCGTAATTCAGTGCCGTTTTATTCGACGCATTCCTTCCCTGTTCGCCTCTCTCGTGTGCGTGCGTGCATGTGTGTCGCTTTCAGAATAATAGTTTAGGATTGCCAACGACGCAGAAAATAAAAACAAGATAAAGAAAGATACGCCACCCGACGACGACGGTGGCTACGTACGAAAACTGAGAATGAGCAACTTGTACCTTCCAATTGGCTGACGCGATATTATGCAAGCTCGGAACAAAAAGCGATAAATCGCTTTCGTCTCGTAAATCACATTTCCGCTCCAACATTTCGGTTCACCGCTTTCAAAGTATCTTCATAGTGTACTCTCATATACACATCGCGCGCACGCGCGCGTACAGAAACACACACACACACACACACACGCACACGTGCAAATATACCTATATATATATACATACACGAGCGCTCGCGACCCCCCATCGTGCTTTAAAGTTCGCGACAGAATTTCGAAGTGCGCGACACATAAAGGGAACATTAAATCATGTAGCATTCCGTTCTGTCGAGGTGGCGTCGAATAACACACGCAAAGTGTAACGTTACGATTCTCTTATTCCTATATTTAGCCGGCAACTATTTCAGATGCGCCGTCGCCCCTGGACTCTGTGTTTTGTCGCTCATCCCTTATTAACTCCGATCGCGAACTTCGCTCTCCGAACAGCGGTGCGGCTCATTCTCTATTTATCGGCTCGACAAATGAGGTAACGAATAATTATCGACTCATCGGAGAGGCAGGCTCAAGGCTGGCAATGTAAAATTAAATATGCACGACATGCCGCACACATCGATCCGTCCCGATTGCGTTCGAATACCCTCTCTCTCTCTCTCTCTCTCTCTCTCTCTCTCTCTTCTCTTCCTCCCTTCTTCACCCATGCAACAGAATTTTGTCGCGAGATATCATCGATTCGCAAATTAATCATCGATGCATCATAGCCGAGATCCGGCGGAACCGACGAAGAACCGCTCGAGAGCGAAGAATCCGCTTGCGGGCCACGGTCGGTCGGTCGGTCGGTCGGTGTGACGCTCGCACCGTCGTTTCTCGCGTGACATTTGAAAAGGTGCGACATCACAATCGGTTTGCGTGCCGCACGTCGGCCGACCCGACGCGGCCCGGCCGCGTCCTGAGTGCGCCTTCCAAATTTAACACGCGGGTCACATGCCGATGTGACACGCGCGCTTTTCACCGGCCGCGAGATATACGCGCGTTCGCCGACAAACCGCTCTCGTCGCTCGTCGCTCGCGAAGCGCCGCGCCGCACGCTATACTACTCTGGCTAGGCTAAGCAATGCGACCGCGCGCGCGCGCGCGCGCGCGCGACGTTATTATTTACGGGCCCGAAAGGTACGAGGAATTGTTGTTACTTGAGTGGAAAGGCGGTGGCGACTGGCCGGCGATTTATTTTCGGATCGGTCGGCCGCGACAGTCGGCGAATTGCGAAAACGCATTCTCTGCCGTGTGGCGAAGCGACGACGGCTGATCAACGCGTGCGTTCAACGGCGCTCACCGACGGGGTCACAGTCGTCGTCGACGACGACGACGACGACGACGCGACTGTGACCAAGCGAGCGACACTCGTTAACGCGCTCTCGCGGCTCCGTGCTCCGTGATTCTATAGATCTGGCAAATCTTATTTCACAATTTTACATTTAGCCGCACACATTTTTGCCACCGCCGATATAAATTGCCATACAAAAAGATTTGTACAATTCATATTTATAGATTTGTGTGAAAAGAATTTCCCGAGAGAAATTGTTCAAATGATACACACACCACATGCTGCATCGCGTGATTGCATTCATATCAAAGTCCTAATTTGTACGTTACGATAATTTTAAATCACAATTTAATCGGATATCGCTCCAACTTTGCAATATGAAAACGTGTACCGTAAAAGACACTTTCCCGCGCAATGTGTCCCGAACAATGTAAGCTCGTGTGGTACCGGCTCTCAAAATCTACGACTTTTTAATATTCTTCTTCGGAAAAATTCTCTCCATGTGTACGTGTGTAAACGTTGTTGACTAATTAATCGTTTCTCACACCGTCGTGTTACCACGATGCCGGCGGCGCGGGCGCACTGCAAATTAGTCCGATGCCACTAAAAGACAAGCTGGTAAGCGGGCCGCAAACAAAAGCCGACGAGAAAAGACGCGACCAAACTGTATCGTTCGCGAACTGCAGAATGTTAATTTACGGTCGCGAGACGCGACCGACGCGACGGCGTTTGAAGAGCTGCACACGGCGGCGGCCCACAAACCTGACCGCGACGGTGATTAAACGATGCGACGACAGACGCGTGTCTATCACTTGCGAAAATTTCGTCTACTTACCGGTACGATCTTTGCCACCGGTCGCACAATTAACCGGAATTTATACCGGTATTAACCGGAATAGCACGCACTAATATTGCGCGTGCACGCATATAAATTCTCTCATCATCTCGAGCGTGTTTTGATACCGTCGCGCGATATAGGAAATATATGTGAGTTAATTTGCAACCGCTTCGGCCGCGGGAAAGCCTGCCACCGGGCGATTATTACAGTGCGTGCGTGCGCGCGCGCGCGAGTGTTTTAGCTCGGACATTTTTGCCGGTGAACGATGTTTGACCGTAAACTTGGCGAAATTAAGGAAGCAGATTGAAAATTGAATTCACAACGAATTTCGGTAAATTTCAGTCTACTACCTTTGGCCGCGCGCGGTCGCTGCCGCTGCCGCTGCCGCCATCGCGCGGCCGCGTTTATATAGCTAGTCCTATATATATAATTGAATAATATTGAC